CTATCCAGGAATAAGAAGATGCCTTCCAGTGTCTAACAGGGTTTCCTGAGAGTATACTGGGTCAGGGAGTTCATCATTAGAAGCACCTCTTGGAGGCGTAGATAGACAGGACTATTTTCTTCTTCTTTCTTATTCTACCATGGTCTACAGAGAATCCTACTGGGTGAAACAAAACTCCTGGACAGGATTCAAGCAGAGGCTACATTTGTCAAATTTTCCCATTGAGCACATTGGCTCTTTGGGTGGGCATGACAGAGGCATATTTAGATGGGCCTGTATCTCTATATGCATATCTCTATAGCATGATAGAGATATATTTATTTACTAGAAGCCCATTGATAAAGCTCTCAGTGGTGGAGCAGTCACCTAACATACATATAAGGTCCAGGATTCCGTCCCCAGCATTGAAAATAACAACAAAAGAATCTGTTGGTTTACTGATACTCCTCTATTTCTTCATAGGTCATTTCTTAATTTGCATATTCATTTACTCATTAATCCATACACTTACTAATTTTTAATTCCTTCCATCATAGCTCTAGCTCTCCATTCATTCATACATATCTTTAGATATTCATTTGCATACATATTTAGTCATGTGCACTATGGGGCCATTCCTTTGTACATCCATTCATTTAATGAATAATAATCCATTTTGAAATGGATTACAGCCTCTTGAGTTGTGTAACAGTTAAACTGGGGTAGATGCCAGTTGTGGTGCACATGAAGTTGGGTTGATAGTGCCAGGACTCGAGAGATGATTTTTGGCCTGTGACAAGTAAAAGTTAAATTCACCTACTGTGATACAGAAATTGAATTTGTCGAAGTCTTCCTCCCCAGTTTTTCAACACTGTGAAAATACAGTCCTGTTTGACTCTCTCCAACAAGCTTTGTGTGTGTGTGTGTGTGTGTGTGTGTGTGTGTGTGTGTGTGTGTGTGTGTGTGTATGTGGCCTGGTGCCATGTTTGGGTTGTTCTAGAAGTTGAGAACTGGCTGAGTCACTGTTTTCCCACCAGGGAAGCAAGCTATGGTGGGGTTTAGGGTTGTGGTGGGTGGAAGGAATGCACATAGTCAGTCACATGTGGGGGCCCCACATAGAGGAGCAAGAGACACACCAAAAGAACCACCAAACGCCAAGGGGGATTGGGGATGTTGTCTTCCCCATTTGCAGGAGCTTCTATCCAATAGTCTTGTTTCAGAATCCCCGTGGAAATATAGGTCACGCAGAAGGAAAACCACTGTGCCTCTTTCAAGCTGAGATGTGCATTTGAAAGCTCAAGAACCATAAAACACAACCCAAAGGCGGAGTTTCTGGTAATAGTAACAATGACTGCCAGGCTGGTTGAGAATGAGGGCGTTTTTTATACCTGGACACAATGTAACTGGAATAGGATCTTCATCCCCTAGGACATAATGGAGGACTAGCGAGATCTTAAGTGTCTAGTTGTCAGTGTATTTATTCCTTTCAAGTCAGTCATTGCACAGGATACTTGACAGAAACATCTTAAAAGGAGAGGTTCATTTTTTTGGCTTGTGGTTTTAAAGGGTTTTTAGTCCGTCATGGTGAGGAAGGTTTGATGGACAGATCAGTTCATGGCAGAGGCAGCAGGTACGAAGACTACTCATATCATGGCAGACCAGGAAGCAAAGGAAGCAGAAACCAGGTTGCCGCTAAACCTTCAGAACCTTTCCCCACAATGGCTGGCCATTAGCTAGGCCCTACCTCCTAAGAGCTCCTTTCATAACCTTCCAAAAGAGGACAACCAGCTGGGGACCCAGCACTGGAAACAGCAACCTCTGGAAGACGTTTCAGATTCAGTGTTTCACCTCACATGAACTTTCCTTGCTGTGTGACACTCCCATGCGCTCATGAGCTCTTCCTGCTTACAGAGAGGCCCCAATGATTCTTTGGATAAGTATCATGCTACACAATGGCTGTCACACGTGACACGAGGCTCCAGTTGGTTCCAGACGGTCCCTTTGTCATTAACGACTCTGTGAATGCTGCCCTTTCCTGAATGAAGGCTGTGGGTACTCAGCTGTGAGACACTGCTGCCCACCTAAAATTGTAGTTGACCCCCCATGGTGCCCTCTTCCCGGATGGCACTCAGGCATCCAAAACCAAGAAGTCTAGATGGCTTGTTTCACCTGTGATTCGGAACCCCACCCACCTTGAATCTCAACTCATGACCAATGGGAAGAGTTCTTACTGCATGCTGGTTCCCTAGGTAACCAGTGCATGCACTTGAGAAGGACCAGAGGGAAAGGAAGACATCACAGAAGCATGCATAGCACTCCATCCACCTCAGCCCCCACCCCTGCCCTCAACCTCACCATCCCAGCTATGGTTCTGCCCGTTGGTTTTAAATACACAGCCATAAACACTCAGGACAACCAGCAACATGGCCGGATGTAATATTAATTTATTTCCTGGTTTGTCTGTGAAAGAGTCAACCATATAAATCACTGTAAGCCACGAAGACAAAAGTGAAATCACATCTTCAAATGGACAAGTATAGCATGCTATCTTTCGGCTCCAAGGAGCATCATGTGTGGTTAACTCCAAGTCTTTGTGTGAGCCTTGATTTTGGTTAGGTGATGCAGTCAGAAGCTCCCCCCCTTCCATGTTGGACCAGAGCCTTGGATGCTTATCTGTGGCATATCCCTGGCAAGCCTGGTGTCTGCCGGACAGTGCCCCTGCAATGCCATTTTTCACGACTTGTTTAATTAACAACCATTTTTGACCTCGGCTTGTTATGAAAGTGTTGCTATTCTCTCCTGCTAAATTATGTCTAATGAACATATTTGCATGTTATCAGATATAGCAATATATCATTTCAAATTTGAGCGTTTAAGCCTACATCACTCAAAACAGCTTTTGTGGATTAGTAAGCAGGTGAAATCAAAAATCTCATTTCATATCTGACATTAATAACTTTCGGGGGAGTGAGCATTGACATTCATGTCTGGACCAGAATCGAGCCCAATGTCCTAGAAATACAAGGGCAACACACAAACCTACTCACCAGATAGGAAAATAAATCACACATAATGCAGAATTTCTACCTTACATGTTAATTAATGTGTGCAATCAATTACTGATGTTACAATATGAGAAAGAAACTGGTGGGGAAAGGGGTAATAAAAAATACCTATAGATTTATCTGCTTCTTTTTTCTATTTAAACAAATAGTCTTCAAGCCCGTGAATGCTGTGTTGAGGCATGCTTGGAATAATAAGCATCATAAAATCTAATCAGATTTATAAGAGGAATTGATTGTTGTGGCAGGAGGAGAGGGTGGAAAATAAGCTGAAATTTAAGTGTTAATTTTTATGCTAATCCACAGTGGCTTCGTATGAAGCAATTTTGTTCTGTGCCACAAATATAAAATTGTCCCTTGCAGAGAAATGTCAGCTTGCTAGACCTGAAAGCAGTAATTTATTAGGTATGTTTCTATTAGTATGTGTCACATTGTTAGCAGGCTATACACACAATGGCGCTTCATACTTATCCTCCAAGTCTGAGAATGTCTCAGCTCAGTGGCTGGAACGTGGGGCGTTAATGCATTATCATATGCGGGGTGGTCTGTGCCCTGTGGACAAAAGGCTATTTAATACAATTTAATGTCACTCTGAGAAGAAGTGGAAAAATAAAGACGGGGAATAAAATGGCATCTGTGAGTTTCACAGGGCACTCATGCACAAACCCTCAGTTTAAGAGGTATGACATTTCTGCCAAGGAAGAGAATAAAACTGGGGCATTTTTTTTATAACCTGTTCCCCACTGCAGTATTTCCTAAATGCTATTAAGTGATCGATTTACACGGCCACATGATGATGTCACCCATAAGAAGGGGAATGCAGATGACAGCAAAATGCTACTGACAGTGACCTTGTTTCTGAATCCTTGGAACCCTGTCAGCTTTGCTTCCAGTATATGGTTTCAAAGAATGTACTTTTTGGACAATATCTAGTTACTGGGTAGTGAATTAATAGAGTTAAGGGTTCTGATGCAATTCACATATAGGTCAATTACATGCGCCAACATCTGCTCTGTCATGATCATTTGCATATAGCATTCATATGTTAATGATGCCTCTTTTTACTCAAGTAATATATTTTAAAAACAAGATTTGCATATCAGTTTGGATCAGTATATTACAAGCAATTTATCATTTTCCCCTTCTTGTTATGATTTGAAGAACAATATCTTGAATGATGGCTGCTATATTTGAGCACGGCTCTGATTTATACAAGCAGCCCCTCGGTGGGAAAGCTTCCATTCTAAAGCTGCTTAAAGCCTTATAAATCAATAATGACACAGATGGACTGCTGATAATCTATTTAGAATGCCTGATAGCAAATATTGCCGCACAGACGATTAGAGGGGTAACCATTTTAGCAGAGTCCTTCCTCCCTCTGCAAATGGCAAGTTTGAACAACAAAAACAACGTAAAAGAAGTGCCTGTACCCTGACTTCGCGTCAGACCTTCTGGGTCTGGCTCGCAGAGGGGAAGACCTGGGGAGAAGAACAAAGGCACTTCCCATTCCTGCCAATATAATCATATCAGCCCCTGTTTCTTTAACAAAACAGGACCTCTTAATGGAATTGTGTCTTCAGGTGTAAATAGCATTAAAAGCTGCTTCTCGGGTCCTCTCTGTCCTGATACAGCGCAAGGAGTGAGAAAATAAAGTGGAGGTTGTCAAAAGTGGCAGCTGTTTGGAATCCTGATAAATATAAGCTCTTATTGATCTGATGGAAATAAAGGATCCCAGTGCTAGGCAGTATTTAGCTTCTTGTCTACAGCGCGTCACTAGTGGCCTTGCATGGGGATAGATTTCCATTCTCATGCCCAGGATTTGATTTCATCTTTAACCTTTGCAGCTGAGTTTCCTTGACCTCAGAGTGTGGCTGTGATTTCCCGAATTTGTTACATTTTTGCTTTACATGGTTTCTTTCTCTATTTCCTTTTTTTTTGTTGTTTGTTTGTTTGTGACAGGGAAAGGGGACATCCTTCTGGCCATCTTTCAGCGCCTGTATCCGGTGCATCTTTTCTGGGGATATATCCTTCCTAGACTGACAGTCCTTAAGCCAAGCATGCAGTGAGGGTGTTAAGGTAAGCCTCTCCCTATTACAGCTGTCCGCCTGGACATTCCTCACGTCTTCCTGCCTTACCCTGTTGACTTCACACAAACCCAGTTCAAGCTAACCACTGTGCACCCCAGCCAAGTCAATCCGGGATACAAGTGGAGGCCCCCTGCACCCACCCAGTAAACCCTGGTTTGTGGGTCCTGGGGACCAGCATTCCCTTTGTGGTTTGGATGGTGATGGTTTGAAACAAAAGGATTCCGAAGAACAAGGTTCCATGTTCTCGTGGCGCTTCACCCCGAGACATTGTGTGGCTTAATTTTTTTTTTTTCTGGAGTTTTCTTCCGGGGTAGTAGAGATGAAGCTTCAGCTCAAACTCCTGAGGTGCTGTTCACGTTTTTTCCTCTGGTTCCAAGAAAAGTGCTGCTGTTATTTTGAGTAGTTTGATACAACCAAATCAAAGTGAAGATTTGAAATGGCTTTTCTGAAAGCCCAAAGCTGAAGTCATAAATTATTCTGCACCGCGATTCTTTCTGATAGTGAAACCGTACCTCTTCGCCTGACACTGCTGCAATGAGGGAAAGTGAAAGTTAAAAATAAAATTGAAACATTTAAATCTTGGCCGTTGAGAAGCTCAGATAGACATCAAGGCCAGTCGATAGAGCCTCCTATCAATTAGACTTGCACGGTTATCATTCCATATTGGCTTATTAGCAATTGCTTGGGTTCAGGGTTCCAGGAATTAAGAATGTGAAAGGTCAGACTGGGGTGGGGGCGGGGATATCAGGAATTATCCACCTGTGAAAAGACGGTCTGGGGGTGTGTATGGGGCTCCTCCATGTGCAGAAGGCAAGGGACAGGCTGATGGTGGCATCGAGGCCTTGCGATTCTTGCGGGAGGAAAGTGCCTCCAGTGAGAAGGCTGGAAGTTTTCCCTGGTTTACCCCGTTATTTGAGTCGGAAAGTGTTGATTTCACACCGCGCTGAGTGTTTTCCCCCCCGCAGCTTCTTAGTGGGTGTATTCTGTGTTCAGAAAAAGGAGCAGTTATCAAAAGCAGTAGTGGGGGCCATCAGTGACTTTGCAGATCCCAAGGTGCCCTCTAGGAGAGTGTGGGGGGGCGGGTGGGCTGCTCAGGAGCGCCAGCCTAGAGACTGCAGACGGAGCTTCTGGCTAGGTCCCTCCCCGGCATATCGCAGGCGGGAACAATTTTTGGTTCCTTTGCTGCTGGGTTGGGAAAACAAGCCCGTGGTTGCCAGTAAGGTTTGGAATCTGCCTGCCAGATAAGGGAATGTCTGTGAAGACTATTTTCCCTCTTGGGAGGCAAAACACAGATGGGGGAGTTCGGAATCTTACAGCACTCAGCTGCTACATTGATGCAGTGTGGATGCTCATGATATCCGAAGGCCAGGTTTAGCATAGTTGCCCGGAGCCGCTGGTAGGGAGTTGGTAGTGCTGGCTGTCGAGAGAGCGAGAACATTCCATTCTCTGGGCTTCTTGAGGTGGGAGAAACAGCCTCTGGTACCATGCTGGCTACTTCCCCCTTGACTCCTTTTGGGAAAGGAAGGGAAGGGAAGGGAAGGGAAGGGAAGGGAAGGGAAGGGAAGGGAAGGGAGGGGAGGGGAGGGGAAGGGAAGGGAAGGGAAAGGAAGTAAGAGTACGTCTCCCATGCACTGCAGACAGACAATGAAGGAACGTCATGGGCTTCCCCTGTGGGAGACACACACCATCCCTAGCTTGGGTAGCTCACACACTGGGGGACGGACAGTGGTTCCAGGCTTCCCAGAACTAAGACACATATTTTTCAGCCAACCAATGGGCTAAACTTTGGGCTTCCTGGAACATAAAGGAAAATCATTAATAATTCTGCTCATATGCAGGAGACATGTTCAATAACCTCGATGAAGCCTGAAGCTGCAGACCCCACCAAACCCAATGCTCACTCTGTCCTTCCTGCATGCATGTGTCTATGAGTAGAGTTGATGAGTTTGACACAGAAAAAGAGTTGCAGACGGAAGTTTCTGTCCTACCTGGTCCCACAACCGTTTAGTCCCAAATAAACACACATGGCTTCGGCTTACCAGTGATACCCGAGCCTCTTGCTTTCTTGGCAGCTACATGGCCTCTCCTTGACTCTGCCTACTACCTTTCTCAAGGACATACCCCATCCAAGAGTGGCAATAGCCAATAGGAAGATAAAACAATGCTAGCAGTGCATATTCATAAAAGCCATGTAATGAGATTTCACGGGCAGGCAGGGGACTGAGGTATGGGTGGTCTATGGGGAACCCCGGGGAGCAGGCACAGGAGTGTTCTTCTGGACGGGAAACGCACACCTTGGGATGACTTGGGGAGGGGGTGTCATGTGACCTGGAAGTAAGATGAAACTTTACTTCCAAGATCAAATTCTCTTTTTTTCTTTTTTAAAGAGATATTTTATTTTGTTAATTATGTACAGGTGTGTGTGTGTGTGTGTGCGTGTGTGTGTGTGTGTGTCGGTGTGTGGCTGTGTTCGAGGGCGTGTAAGTGACCTAGAGGTCAGGGGCATTAGATCCTTTAGATACAGAGTTATAGACACTGGTGTGGGTGTTGGAAACTGGTTCGCTGGGAGAGTGGTCGGTGCTTTTACCCACTGAGCCAGCTTTCCAGGGCCCATACCAACTCTTTGTGACTTGGAGAACAAATTCTAAGGCTCTGAGGAGTGATATCGGATAGGTCTAAGGAACAGGCAAAGGATACGTGGGTACCTCTCTCCTAGTCCTTGTTGAATTTCAGCCCCAGGACACAGTCTTCTCAAGCTCCCAGGGGTTGAGAAGAGCTGACAGCATGTGAGAGCAGAGGGCCTGATGTGGCCCTGTGTCCGAGAGTCTGGACTTGTGTGCAGGGGAATCTCCTCTCCCCCACACCCCCTCAGTTCTTTGAAAAGGACACTTGGCTTTGGGAAGTTCTTTTTTTCCCCCTCTCCCCTCTTACTTATTTTAACGAGGGAAACTCAAAGATTCTGGAAGAACCACTCGTTCTTGCTCATCTCGAATCTCTCCTCAAACTTGACCTTGGCCCCTCGTCTCCCCTTGCCTTTCAGAGCTGGGTCTTTGAAAGCATCCTCATCAATGATCCACAGAGTACCTTGTGCACATGAGGCTACTGTAGTTATAAACTCTCTCTCTCTCTCTCTCTCTCTCTCTCTCTCTCTACACACACACACACACACACACACACACAAATCTTGATCATTGATTTCTTCTTGTCCATGGTGGCTGTCACTTTGAGGGGACAGTGACCAATTGCAGCCACCAGCGCATGGCTATAGGGACTGCCAGAATCTAACATTAACGTTCTTCAGGGTGAAGGCTTTGCATGCAGCCAGGAAGAACACCACACTCAGGTTTCATGAGCGCTCCCATTTTGACAGTGGCCAGCAGGCACACAGAAGAAAGAATGCATGGAGCCTTACAGGGCTGATGTTTAGGCCAGTGAGTGGCTAGCCAGCCTGGGCAACTTAGAGACCCTGTTTCAAAATAAAGAGCTAAAAGTCCAGCTGTGGCAGTACACAGCTATAATCTCAACACTTTAGCTGAGGCAGGAGGATCTTGAGTTCAAGGTCAACCGCGACTCTGAGCAAGATTGTCTCTAAAGTTTTTTTTTTTAGTAAATAAGTGATAGCATGGTTGGAAGTGTGGGGTTTGCCTATCATGCGTCTAATCCCGAGAACTGCAAAAATTATATGAATAAAATAATAAAAAACAAGACAGAAAAACTACAGAAATGCATTGCAATGACTTCCTGTGTCCTTACAACATGGGTGTCCAAGAACATCCCTCTAAAGAGGGGAGACACAACCTTCAGTCCATAGCCCACCCCTCATGCATGAGGTCCAGCGCCATCCAGAGGAAATGGTGCTCATAGACCCTGGGAACTCCCTCCCACTGCTCCCCACTCTCGGTTCCTATCACCCGAGTTTCCTATGGGTAGAGGCAGGACTGTCCTGTCCAGTGCTTTCACAAAGAGTGGGCTCCAAAATCAGTAGGAACTCATCGGAATCCGGCCTTCCCATCTGCAACGGTTTGAATCTGAACTCCTCCGCAGGCTCAGGCGTTGAATACTTGGCCGCCAGCTGGCAACACTGTTCTAGGGGATGGTGGGTACCAGAGGAGGTGTCAGGGCTGGTCTTGCCGTGGCCCCGCTGACCCCAAGTCACCTTAGTCGAGTGCCACAGAGGTGGTACTTTGGGGGAGGAGGAGAGAGAGATTGAAGTGTCTACCTGAATCCAATAAAGGGTACATATGGGGGGGGCATGCTTTGTGTCCCATTAGCACTTTGCCAGGATGCTTCGGAACTCGTGGAGGTAAGGACTGCTCATGACTCCTTTGTAGATGAGGAATGAGGGAATGGAGCCCTGATCCACCCCCCCCCCCAGGGAGAGCATGCAGAGGGGAACTCGCCTATGCCTAAGTATTCCTTGAGATTATCTCAATCCACCCCGGAGCCCCTGGCAGACAGACCTCATCCCTTACGTGTGTCTTCCAGGCTTGGAAACTGAGGCTGGTGGGAGTTAAGCTGTCTGCCTCAGGAAGCACAGGTAGCAGGTGGCATCACACCCTTAACTTTTCTCCTCACTGTGACCAAACCCTTGACACAAACAACTTAAAGCAGGCATGACTGCTTTGGCTCATGATGTTTGACCCCAGACGGTGGCCAGGAACACGCGGTAGGGAAGGTTACGTCATGGTGAACAGGAAGTAGAACGCACAAGATGGGAAGTGGGTCAAGGGTCTAACGCCAGCGCCTCGCCTCCTTTGGTTAGACCCCCCCTCTAAGGACAGTGCCACCAGCTGGTGGCTAAGCGGTCAGTGCCAAGAGAACCTGTAGGAATGGTTCAGATTCAAGCCACAGCAGAAGGGGAGGCCAGAGTCTGACTGTAGTTCTTGCTGGTTTACAAGCACTAGAAGCAACTTGGCCAAGGCAGTCTGAGTTCAGGACCACAGGGAGCTCATGTTGAGGGTGGGACTCAGAAAGCAGGGAGAACCAGTG